AAAATGAAGATAGTCGTAGTACTTTGAATGATATTAATATATCTTTTTTGACTAATGTTGTTATGTTTTCATCTCACTTGATCATTCGAGTGTTATAACTGGAAAGTGATTCGCTCATCTTGCTGTCCTACAAATGATATAAATCTATGTGACAGACATTACGCTTTATTTTTCTATTTACTAATGTTAAAAATTAAGTTTTGGTAAATTGAAAAAAAAATATCGGAGTCGAACTTGTAACTGACTCCGACGGAGTCGGAATAGGGTTTCGGAGTCCTCCGCAGGTCTCTAATGAGCATTCAGAAAATCTATGTAACATCCTTAAATCTCATTATATAGTCAATAAACTGTTGCATATTCCAGAGTAGAAATTTTGTTCTATCTAACGAGCTATAAATCACATAATTTGATAAATTTGACCGAAATTGGCTTTCTCTGATGCGTGATTTTTGCTTCTCTTCGTTAGGACAAAAATTTCAAATCGTCAAAACAAAAACAAAAAACATAATAATTTGATTTTCAAATACATTTATAGTTCATTTTTGTATTTAATTATTTCAGGTTGATATTGATGTAACACGTGCAATGGTTGCATGTCAAAAATATAATTTTAAAGGTGGTGTTATTTGTTTATATGATAAAGCAAAATTGTAAGAATATTTTTCAATAAATAAAAATAACAAAAAAAATTTTTTTTTGTTCTTTTTGTTTGTCTTATTAGATATCAACAAATATTACAATATCAAATGGATAATAAAGATAATGATGAAATAGTTGCTACATGTCGTAAATATGGTGATGAAGATCCACAATTATGGATTCAAGCATTGAGTTATTTTTCAAAATTAAAAAGTGCTGATGGATGTCGAAAAGAAATTCAACAAATATTAAAATGTTTGTTTAAAGTTTTATTTAAAATAAAAATAAAAACGAAAGAAATTTTATTTATAGATATCGATGAGAATGATCTATTATCACCATTACTTGTTATTCAAACATTGAGTAATAATGAATCAACTAGTCTTGATTTACTTAAAGTAGGTTCATTTGTTGTTGTTGTTGTTTTTTTTTCAATATAACTTTTGATTAAATATTAATTCTATTTATTAGGATTATCTAATTCGAAAACTTCGTAGTGAACAAACTCAAATAGAAAAAGATCAAACAGAAATTCGTCGATTTCGTCAAGAAACTGGAGATATTATTAAAAAAATTAAAACTCTTGAAACTGGGTTTGTTAAATTTTGTATATTTAAAATTTATTTTTGTTTTTTTATTTTATTCAAGTCCAACACTTTGTCAAGATCCAAAATGTAGTGCATGTAAAATGGATTTAGATCTTCCATGTATACATTTTTTCTGTGAACATTCATTCCATGAACAGTTCGTTTTGAAGAAATCATTTTTCTTTTTCTATTCAATGTTTTCTTTATTGTTATTATTTAGTTGTGCTTATGCTATCGAATCAGCAACATCATCAGAAATTATATATGAATGTCCATTATGTTCGGGTGATAATCGGTAAATAGAACGATAGAATAGTTCGAGTTACAAACAGATTTTTTTTCAACTAAATTAAATAACTTATGAGATTAAAATGTTAGGCAATTGAGACAAGCTAAGTTTTTGAAAAAAGCCTAATTAAAAGGAATTTAGTAGATTTTATATTTTGACGACATATGAGAGTAACTATTTTGGGCTTTCGATTGTATCATGAGAAGCATTTTTCTTTTCTAATACATGTATTATATACGAGAAGGTAACAGTCACAATATATGCTTACAAAAAAATAGCAATATTATGCGTCGATTAGAATTGTGATTGCATATAACGCTACGTTATTGTCTTTGAAGATAGTTGGAATCCAGTTATTTTGTCTTTAACTCAACTGACGTAGAAATAATCTTGTTTTTAAACTGTTAGTAGAACATGAGCTTTTCGACACAATAGAAAAAAAAATTAATATGCTT